TGAGAGGTCTAGACAGGGCTAAGCAAGTGCTACCCACAAACAAAAGGGCGCAAGGAAACTCTATTTGTTTGGGAGAAAGTTCGACAGGTGGACTCCCCAAGCCCTGCTGGAGAGATACGATTACAATTTGTGGGACTCCTTGTACAAATTTAAAGACTGTGTCTCAGGACTCAAGGCAGGAATTTTCTGCCCTCTTAAGGAAGGAAAGAATGTTGCCAGAGCCTCACTCCAGGCGGCATTGGACCCAGCCGATGCACAGCCAGGATGATGGTCTCTGCAGTGGTCATGAGGCGATGCTCTTGACTGCAGTCCTTGGGGCTACCTCAGGATGTTCAGCAGGACCTCCGTTTTGAAGGCTCGTTATTTTTTTCAGTGCAAACAGACACAAAGATCCATGGCCTAAAGGACTCAAGGACTACCTTCAGGTCGCTAGGCCTCTATGCTCCATCTACTCTAAGGAAGCACTTTAGGCCTCAACAGCTGGTTCACTTTTCGGCTCCACTTCTATCCACCTCATCTTCGATGCCGGGATTACATAGGTACTCTGGTGGCCCCAAGCATGCCTTTTGAAAGTGCACTCGAAGGCACTATTATCAGTTCCCGCTTTGAATCCTTCCCCCCCCACTTTGATTTTGGACTGATTTTCACACTTCAGCCCAGTGTGGTCCCACATCACATTGGAGCCCTGGGTGCTAAATAGAGTGGTGGATGGTTATACCCTTTAGTTTTCATCCACCTCTCCCTCCCACCCTCATCCTTCTTCAGGGAACCTTCTCACAAGCAACTCTTAGCCCAAGAGGGCTAAGCCCTCCTACAGATGGGAGCTGTGGAAGAGTCCCTTCAAAAATTGAGAGGGAAAGAGTTTTACTCCCAATATTTCTTAATCCCAAAGAGCAAGTGGGGAGAGCAGGGCTTCGTCCCATCCTGGACCTGCTTCACCTCAACAGTTATCTCAAGAAACTGAGGTGCTGCCTGGTCTCCCTGGCCTCCATCTCCTCCTCCCTCAATCCAGAGGACTGGTGCTCCGCCCTCGATTTAAGGATACTTACTTTTACATTTCTATCTTCCATGGCTACAGAAGATTCTTCAGATTTATCGTAAACCAGGCCCATTACCAGTTCACCCTCCTTGCATTTGGCCTGTCTGCAGCCCCTTGGGTTTTTACAAAATGCATGGTGGTGGTAGCAGCCTTATTCAGAAAGCAAGACATTCAAGTCTACCTGTATCTTGATGACTGGCTGATCAAGGGTTGCTCAGAGGCCCATGTAAAGAAAAGCACAGGCCTGGTCCAAGCCACCTTCTGAACACTGGCCAGTTGATAAATGAACAAAAGTCAGTTCTCATTCCAGTACAGGGAATAGAGTTTATCGGGCCAGTGCTCGACTCAACCCAGGCCAGAGCCTTCCTTCCAGAGGCTCGATTCCAGACAATGTCAGCTCTGATATCCCAGGTCACAGCTCACCCAATCAGAACAGCCCAGGTTTGCCTCAAGCTCCTGGACACATGGCCATATGCACTTCCGTGTATGGCATGCAAGGCTGCGCCTCAGGTCCCTGCAGGCGTCGTTGGCTTCAGTGTACTCACTGAACAGACACCACTTGGACTCAGTAGTTACTGTTCCGGCCTCGGTCCTTGCCTCCCTCAACTGATGGAAGAGACCCCCAATCGGCAGTGGTAGGCATTCCCTTTGTTGCCCCCCAGCCATCCATATCCCTAGTGTCAAACGCTTCAGACCTAGGTTGGGGAGCCCACCTTGATCGCCTCAGGATGCAGGGCCTGTGGTCCCAGGAAGAGCTGTCCTGGGCATAAAAATGTCAGGGAGTTAAGAGCCATCTGCTTACCTTGCCAAGTGTTTCTTTCCCAGGCAAGATAGTGCGAGTACTGATGGACAACACCACGGCCATGTTCTACATCAGCAAGCAGGGAGGAGTATGCTCCTCCACCTTATGTCAATAGACCATCCATCTATGGGACTTCTGCATGAAGCACCTCGAGGCTTCCCATCCTCCAAGAGCCCGGAACGCCTTGGCTCATCACCTCAGCAGATCTCTCTCCTCTTACCACAAGTGGTCCCTTCACCCAGAGGTCACCAGGTTCATCTTCCAAAGGTGAGGATCTCCCCAAGTAGTCCTGTTCATGACCAAGCAGAACAGGAAATGCCATCAGTTTTGCTGACTGCACAGGCACAGCCCTGGCTCCCTTTCAGATGCCTTCCTGTTTCCATGGACAGAGCTCCTATACTGTGTATTTTCTCCAGATCCTCTAGTACACAATGTCCTTCTAAAAATCAAGCGGGACAGGGTGAGAATTATTCTTATAGCCCTGGCAAGGCTGTGCTAACACTGATTCGGCATGCTGCTAAACTTACCAGTAGCACCCCTCCTATCACTCCCACTCTGTTTGGACCTGATTTCGCAATACCACATCCATTTGCTCCACCGAATGTCAGGTCCCTTCCCGTGACCGCATGGAAGCTCCATGGCTGAACCTGGAGGAGCAAGCCTGTTCAGAACATGTTTGACAAGTCTTGCTGGGTGGTAGGAAGCCGTCCACTAGGGCTACCTACCTGACCAAGTGGAAGTGTTTCTTGATATGGTCATCCCAATGAGGTCTTTCTCTGGCTTGGTTTTCCTTCTGTGTGTTCTGGAGTACTTGCTTCACCTAAAACAACAAGGCGTGGCACACACATCTGTCAAGATACACCTAGCAGCAATTTCATCCTTCCATTTGCCAGTGGGCAGTCGGTCAGTTTTCTCTCATGAGATGACAATTCGCTTTCTTAAGGGGTTAGAGAGACTTCATCCTTAGGTTTGCAAACAATTCCCCCATGGGATTGAACTTGGTCCTGTCGAAACTCACGGGCCCTCCCTTTGAGCTACTAGTATCATGTCCTCTGCTGTTTCTCTCCTGGAAGGTTGCCTTCCTGATAGCAATTACCTCAGCTAGAAGGGTCTTTGAAATCGGGGGCCTTACGTCAGAACCATCATACTCGGTGTTCTTCAAGGACACGATTCAACTGCACCCCCATCTGCCTGCTAACGGTGGTCTCTCAGTTCCATAGCAACCAAGCCATTTTTCTGCCAGTCTTCTTCCCAAAGTGGCACAAGAATTCAGAAGAGCGGCAGCTTCACTCATTGGATGTTAGGCGTGCCCTCACCTTCTACATTGAGAGAACTAAACTACTTCGCAGATCCACACAACTTTTTGTGTCAATAGCAGAGAGGATGAAAGGCCTACTGGTTTCAGCTCAAAGAATCTCATCCTGGATAACCTCCTGTGTTCAGGCATGCTACGAGGAAGCGAATGTTCCACCGCCTGCCATCTTGACTGCTCATTCCACAAGAGTGCAGGCCTCTTCAGGAGCATTTCTGGCCCAGGTTCCAATCCAAGACATTTGCAGGGCCACAACATGAGCAACACATCTTGAAGAACAACATGTTATAGAAGGTCAGTAACTGTTCGTTTGGGGTTTTTTGGGACCTCCAATCTAAGAATTGAACATGCTTGATCCTGCTTAGCTTGCGATGTCCGTTAAAATCATAGCATGAGATAGTGTAGCTGCAATTGCATATTACAAAGAAAGGATAACACATCTAATTGTTAGATTTATAACATATTTTTCCTTTTATTTAATCGTTAATATAATTTAACCCCCAAGTAAAGAGTCAGTAAAATGTTTCCTTTAGATGGTATGTGATGGTGTTCTTTTGCTCTAAAGTATCTTTTATAAGTTTCCTTAATAGATTTGGATTGAAATGAATGTTGAATGAGTGGCATTCATCAGTTTTTCTTATAGGTACATGTTAGATTGTTAATTTGATAAACTATCTATCAGCCTTTTCCTGAGATTTTTTCCTTCCTACATTTTAAAGCTCCTGCAATGCTCTATGACGTTTAGCATTTGTGGCTTGAAGTGTTGCCTAAATGCTGATTAAGCTTGGCTTATGTTTCCCATTTTTAGGCCATATCTTTGTGTTTCTTATGACTATGTTCTTGCAGCAGTAACAGAGGGTTCACATTTCATTTTTAAAAAATAACCATCAAAATAAATTTTGAAATTACCTCCACTCTCATCTTAATGTACAAAGGGTGTATCCCTTTTGGAGATTGAAAATGATTTTGGCTGGCTTGCTAGCTAGCTTGTCCCTGACTGCTTTTTTAGACTTCATGTCTTTTATAAATTCCAAAAGGTCTTGGCATCTCAAGTCTGATTACATTTGCAAAAGTCAAAGTGGAAGGTTTCTGGCTCGATTCCTTGTTTATAAGAGACCTCAAAAATCCCTCCATGTGTGTGCTGGCTGTGCCAGTGCTGGATGTGTGTGTTCAGTGTCTATAGTGTTTGGGACTAATAGCTTTGTTTTGATTTCCAGCCGTTAGCTGTTAGACCCAGGGGAGAGTGCATCAGGGAGTGGGGCAGGGAAAGGGAAATTGTATTTTGCTACATGGCTGTTCTAAATAGCAGAATAAGATGATTCTGTCTCAGAACAACTAAGGGTCCAATCTTATCTTGCTTTTACTGTAAATCTTCCATTAGTGTGGAAGTAAATAATATAATGAAAATATGCGAAAGGGCTTTGTGATAGATCCAAAATTGAAACCCGATAAGAGGTTTTAAACTCCCAGTGGGACTCATGCCTGCATAACACACATGGGGTTAGGTTTAACATTTTGGAGCTTGACTGTGACTAAGCCTCTTTCTTCCTTTATACCCTATCATGCTATCCTCCTGTCCAAAGCAATGTCACTCTTTTATTCCCTTCACCATTCCTTCTTTGAAGAGAACATTTAACTTCTCCATTCATTTAAGTGCTAATAAGAACAAAGTAGCGTGTAGATTCTTCATGAGTCTACTCCTGCTTCTCTTAGTATAGAATATTCCTTTTCTGCTAATGATTTCTGCATATCTTTTGTGGAGTTACACATTTTAGTGCATTCTATATCTTACATAATGTTTAAGTAATTACTTTGTAAATGTCTGCATATTCTTTTCTCCGTTCCAGACTGATTCATGGAGGGCAGCTGTTAAATGGATTGGCAGGTCCAACTATAATGAATGCTGCTCCATTTCTCTCCACTACCTGGTTTTCTCCCGATGAACGTGCCACTGCAACAGCTATTGCATCATCGCTCAATTATCTTGGTGCAGCATGTGCATTTTTAGTAGGACCTCTGGTGGTTCCACCTCCTAATGGAACATCTCATCTTCCACTTGCATCTGAAAGTAACTCTGAGCATATCAAGGACCGCATTGAAGCTGTGTTGTATGCAGGTATTTTAAAACTAATCTACTTTTATTGTGTCTGAAGTGTGAACTACTACCCTCTAGTGGCTGGCCTGCAGACAAAACTGCTGATGGCTTAAAGAGTAGTTGTCCTATATTTCAAGTAGTAGAATCCTGTGTTCTAGGGGGAGCTAAATTCTGTTCCCTTTGCCACACATGTGGGGTAACCAATTGGGCTGTGTCTCTGAATGCAGACACAGATTCATTCTAAATGCAGTATCTGGTCTATTTTTTCATATCTTCTGATTTCCCAGGACAAATATTTTCCACTAGGGCTTTGTGTTTTAATGCAGAACTTCAAAATTATGCTTGTTTTGTTGAACTTTTTAACAGTAAACCTCTCACTACCAGTTCATGTTTCTCTTTATCATTAACAGTGATAGTGTAAATCCAACAATTTCTCAGCATTTCATGCTTAACTTCTGTGATAAAGCAGTCCTCATTTAGGGCTTAAATGTGTGAGAGTTAAGGCTGTCGATTAATCACAGTTAACTCAAGCTATTAACTCAAAAAAAGTAATCACGATTAAAAAAATTAATCGTGATTAATTGCAATTTTAATTGCACTGTTAAACAGTAGAATACCAATTTAAATTTATTAAATATTTTTGGATGTTTTTCTACATTTTCAAATATATTGATTTCAGTTACAACACAGAATACAAAGTGTACAGTGCTTACTTTATATTATTATTTTTATTACAAATATTTGCACTGTAATTGAGAAACAAAAGAAATAGTATTTTTCAATTCACCACATACAAGTACAGTAATGCAATCTCTTTATGGTGAAAGTGCAACTTACAAATGTAGATTTATTTTGTTACACAACTGCACTCATGCTTTGGCCACCATTCAAGAGGACATGCTTCCATGCTGATGACGCTCATTTAAAAAAATTTGCGTTAATTAAATTTTGTAACTGTACTCCTTGGGTGAGAATAGTATGTCTCCTGCTCTGTTTTACCTGCATTCTGCCATATATTTCATGTTATAGCAGTCTCAGATGATGACCCAGCACATGTTCTTCATTTTAAGAACACTTTCACTGCAGATTTGACAGAACGCAAAGAAGGTCCAATGTGAGATTTCTAAAGATAGCTACAGCACTTGAACCAAGATTTAAGAATCTGAAGTGCCTTCCAAAATCTGAGAGGGACAAGGTGTGGAGCATGCTTTCAGAAGTCTTAAAAGAGCAACACTCCGATGTGGAAACTGCAGAACCCAAACCTCAAAAAAAAGAAAATGAACCTTCTGCTGATGGCATCTGACTCAGATGATGAAAGTGAACATGTGTCGGTCTGCACTGTTTTGGATCGTTATTGAGCAGAACCCCTCATTAGCATGGACGCATGTCCTCTGGAATGGTGGTTGGAGCATGAAGGGAATTTTTAGCGCATCTGGCACATAAATCTCTTGCAATGGCAGCTATAACAGTCCCATGCGAACGCCTGTTGTCACTTTCAGGTGACATTGTAAACAAAGTGGGAAGCATTATCTCCTGCAAATGTAAACAAACTTGTTTGTTTGAGTGACTGGTTGAACAAGAAGTAGGACTGAGTGGACTTGTAGGCTCTAAAGTTTTACATTGTTTTATTTTTGAATACAGTTTTTTTGTATATAATTCTATATTTGTAAGTTCAACTTTCATGATAAAGAGATTGCATTACAGTACTTGTATGAGGTGAATTGAAAAATACTTTCTTTTTTTACAGCACAAATATTTGTAATAAAAAATAAATGTAAAATGAGCACTGTACACTTTGTGTTCTGTGTTGTAATTGAAATCAATATATTTGAAAATGTAGAAGACATCCAAAAATATTTAAATAAATGGTATTTTATTATTAACTGTGCGATTAATCGCACAATCCATTTTTTTAATCGCTTGACAGCCCTAGTAAGAATCTTTCAAAAGTGATTTGTTAAATAATTATTTAAGAATATAATTGTAGAATAAAACCCCACTTGATCTTGATTTTTGTAACCAAAAACTACTTAATGCTGTTCTTTAGATTTATGTGACAGTTATTATTCAGAAGCAACAATTTACTGAATAATAGTAATGTATGAAAATGAACACTGTAAAATACTTGATTTATTTATCCAGGCTTTTCCTTGTGATGGTTTCTTCAGCACAGCAGGATAATTCCTTAGGTGTTTTAAGAAACTTATTCTAGTCATGTTCAGTGGCAAATTTTCTTTAAAGATGTGGCTGAACCCCAGTTTAAGAATCTAGGGCTTGATTCTCTTCTAATGTAAACTGCTATAGCTGACCATTTCATGTCAGTTAAGAATTTGGCCCGGTTTTCTCTCTAGAGTTCAGTCAAGAGATATTGCTAGGCTCATTTTTTTCTATTTAAAATGTTTTTGAAAAGGCACTTCAATGTTTAAAAGTGTATATACAAGTATATTGGACTCTGCTGGCTATTTGCAGTGCTTTGTGCCGGTCCATTCTTCATGAGGCGAGTTTTCTTATAGGTTAATAATGACAGGGTATGGGGCACTTTTCTTTCTTTACTTTAATAACAAGCAGTTGAAGTTGGATCATCATGTAAGTGGGTACCACATAGCCCCTGCTTCTTTGAGTGCTTGCTCATATCCATTCCATGTTAGGTGTGCGTGCGCTGCGTGTACATTTGCCAGAAAATTTTCTCTCAGTGGTATCTGTCGGGCTGGCCATAGCGCCCTCTGGTGCTGCACGCTCATGCACTGGTATAAGGGGCCCAGCTGGCCCCGCACCCTCTCAGTTCCTTCTTACCACCTGTAATGGTCGCTGGAATAGGTCCTCTTGCTTTGGCAAGACGTTCATTCAGTGATTTTTCCTGTTATTCTCTAGTTTAGTTTTATTTTAATCTTAATTTCTAGTTTAGTGTACATAGTGTAGATAGAGTATATAGTTAGAACCCCCCTCTTAGCTTAGAGGGGCTTCTTTCACCCTGGCTTTTTTCACATCTTCTGGGAGCCTGGAACGCTCTGGCAGATCACCTCATCAGGTCTTTCTTTTCTCATCACAACTGGTCCCTTCACCCAGAGGTGACCAGATCCATCTTCCAGAGATGGGGGTCTCCCCAGGTAGACCGGTTCACAACCAGGCAGAACAGGAAATGTCAGCAGTTTTGCTCACCATGCAGTCAGAGCCCAGGCTCCCTCTCAGATGCTTTCCTGCTTCCATGGACAGACCTCCTGTTCTATGCGTTTTCCCCCAGTTCTTCTGGTGCACAAGATCCTTCTGAAAGTCAACCAAGACAAGGCACAGATTATCTGTATAGACTCTGCGTGGCCATGACAGCACTGGTTTGGCATGTTTCTGGACCTCCGCCCCGGACCTGATCTTGCAAAACCACAGCCATTTCCTCCACCTGAACCTCAGGGCCCTTCACATGACTGCGTGGAAGTTCCATGGTTGAACCTGGAGGAACAGGCCTACTCAGAGCAAGTCCGCCCGGTCTTGCTAGGTAGTAGAAAATCATTTACTAGAGCGACCTACCTAACCAAGTGGAAGCGCTTCTCAGTGTGGTCGTCCCAACAAGGTCTCTCACCGACCCAGTCATCCCTCCAGTCTGTGCTGGAATACCTGCTCCATCTGAAACAAAAAGGTCTGGCCTTTTCAGTCAAAGTACTTCTAGCGGCAATCTCAGCCTTCCACTCTCCAGTGGACGGTAAGTCTGTCTTCTCTCATGAAATGTCCATTCGCTTTCTCAAAGAGCTAGAGAGACTTGACGCTCAAATTTGTGAACTGATTCCACTGTGGGACCTAAATCTGGTTTTGTCAAGACTCTCCTGGGCCCTCCCTTTGAGCTTTGGCATTGTGCCCTTTGCCAGATCTCTCCTGGAAGATTGCCTTCCTGGTGGCAATTACTTAAGCCAGGAGAGTCTCAGAAATTAGGGCCCTTACGTCAGAACCCCTGTGTATAGTGTTCATTAAGGACAAGGTTCAACTGTACCCCCTCCTGGTATTTCTCCCAAAGGTGGTCTTGCAGTTTCATAGTAACCAGTCTATTTTCCTGCCAGTTTTCTTCCTGAAACCGCACAGCAATTCAGAGGAGCGGCATCTCCACTCACTGGACGTAATTGACACTATTTTATACTGTATTACTGTACTGTATTTACTATATTAAAATGTTCTATGTGTTTGAATGGTGTTAGTAGGGTTCTGCATTATTTTATTCAACGTTTTATATGAAAAATATGTACTGTATAAGCTGTCATTGTAAAAAGGTACACCGTTTAGGCGAATAAAGCATTGTCATAGGCAAGTTGGTGAAGTTGTGAATGCATTCCCCCGGCCCCCATTCCATTATTTCTTATGGGGAAAAATTCTCCGGTATACATTGTTTTGGTATCCATCGCCCTTTTCAAGAACAACCCCAATGTATACAGGGGATCCCCTGTGTACAGCTCATTGTGGCATGGTGCTCAGATTGTTTTCATGAGGCATTAGAGATTCACTCTTCAGCAAAAGACATACAGCTCCATGCTCAGTGTAGCATTTCCTGCCAATTAGTTTGTGGACGGTTCTTGTTCTCCCTTCTTGTTTCAAGTGCTTTGGTGGATCCATCCAGTGTTGCTGAAAGAATTGTCAGGAGGAAGGCAGTCAGTTACTGTTAAGGAGCTCTTGTCTCTGACTGCAATTTCCTTGGCACTTATAGTACATCCCTTACATCTGACCTTTTCCCATGTCTTGCTCTTATTGTTAAAATCTAATAATAAGCTGGTAAACTTGGCCTAGGCTTGCTTTATCTAGAGCAGTGGTTCTCACAACAACATTTTTGGTTGCCTCAGGGTCCAGCACCAACTCTCACTGGTGGCCTCACTGACACTTTTTTCCTAAAATACTTAATTAACTTTAGGAAAAAAACAATTAAATAAGCACAGATTCACATCCAAATCATTGTAATTTATACACCTCTAACCCGATATAACACGAATTCGGATATAATGCGGCAAAGCAGCGCTCTGGGGGAGGGCGGGGCTGCATGCGCCGGC